GTGTCAGCGTTGGAACTGTTACTATACTGAGAAACTGACAAGTTTTTTATGTGCTTCTGAGTTTATAGCCCTCACAACCTGTTTTGGTCTTTATTGCAATCAACTAGGTAAAGCTCCTGCATTAGGCTCTTAGTATTTATGTTCCTAAGCAAAAATTTTCCTAAACCTCATGAAATTGTTAATGCCCTTTGGGAAACAAAGCCTAAATCTAAAGTTATATTCCCTTTCAGAAGATTTTTCTGCTAAAGATCTTGAGTTTTGTGGTTGGTTTAATAGTATATATGACATATTTTATTTATTCTAAGTTAATACATTTTTAACAAGTGGAGGACATAAAATAAATGAAGTTTTAAGATAGATTTTAGGATAAACTTTTTCCTGTGAGTCAGTTTTCCCTGGAATGTTCTGCCCCTTCTGCAGCCAAGGCAAGTTGGTAAGTATTCTATGTGTCCTTAGCTTCTTAAAAAGTTAATGAGGAAACCTGGAAGTCAGAACTCTAAATATAACCGGCTTTCTAGGTTTAATATCCAACTTGTTTTATATTGTTTTTAATGAACCTTTGGACTTGAGTTACCCTGCCTTTTAAAAAATAAAAAATAAAAGTTCAAACTATAGCATATAATTAGCCAAATTCCTAGTTTTAATCCAAAGTCAATTTCTGGGTATGCATCTAGATTTCAGTAAAGATACTATAGTATTTTATTTTACTGCCGAACCAACTCTCCTTAGCATGTATAATGAGGAGCAGGTATTGTTTTATAAGGCAGTTAAGGCTCAGAGAAATTTAGTGATCGTCATCTCGCTAATAAACGGCTGCACTGGAATTGTAATCCAGGTCTTTCTGATTCTAAGACTGTGTTCTCTCTACCACAGCAAACTGAAGGAGAAACAAAAGACAGAGAGCTCATTTAAAGAATCGTATTGTTTTCAGTGAGAGGTGATCAGGGCCTGAAACAAGGCAGTAGAAACAGAAATAGATTTAAGGATTTTACCTGACTTGGTGCAGATTGGATGAAGGGAGTGAAGGAATAGAATTATTAAAGATGTGCAATTCCCAGGTATATCTCTGCATAGTCATGGTGGGAGGAGAAGCAATTTAGGGGAAGGGTGCCCTTCTTTATTCCCCTTTCTATATGGAGTTTCTTTTATGTTGATGTGTTTGTCTTACATTTAGTTAAAGATATCCAGTAAGCACTTAGACATTCAGGTTGCTATTCTGATTATTTGGAATCTATTGTTAGGATACAAAGGAGTTAGGGATGGGTGTATTCTTAATTCCTGTGTTTTCTGTTAATCCTCTGGCACTGTGGCACTTACCTAATGAGACTTATAAATTTATAATTCTTCCGGACTATCCTGAGATTTATAGCTTCAAAAATTCTCTCTGAAGACTCACTTAGTATAGCAGATACATAGTCACAAAGGTATTTTTCCCAAGACATAGTTTGTTGCACTTTGGATATGCTGACCCCTTTAATTTCTGAAAATGTGGAAAATTTAACTGCATAATTTATGGTATTGGTATTGCTTTCAAGCAGTTCTCTGGGATGAAGGGGAAACTCCCCTCTGTGATGGCCCAACTTAGAACAGTGTTTATGCCTAATGTACATAAATTGCTATGTTTTTCCTAGTTTAGAAAAAATGAATTCAAGGGGAAAAAGAAAGACACCATATTCTTGAAGGCATTCTGATTTATTAATGATTTAATTCTGAGGTTACACAAAATATTCAGTAAAGAAGCAGTAGTTAAAACCTAGTGTGTTGAAAGAAAGGAACTCATATGTACACTTTATGGTCAGATGATATGGTGGTGACTTGTACATGTGCCCTTGCACAATTCCTGCTCTGTGGAAAGTTTGTACAAATAGTAACATTGGCAAGATGACTGTTAGCTCAAGCCAAGAAATTTTACTGAAACAACAAATCAGAACTTGGTTACCTTATTTCAGTGTATGCTTCATTTTTTAAAGCAGAAAATTACAACTTTTTTCATCAATCACTGAATAATATACTTGAGATTAAAGTAATATTTTTACTTGTTGCTGTCTATAATATTTACTTCATGATGAACCACAAGTATAGTAATACTTAAGGGCAACCAGGTTGTTTGCTTTTTTCATTTCATTTTATTTTATTTTATTATTATTGTTTTTTTGAGTTGGAGTCTCACTGTGTCACCCAGACTGGAGTGCAGTGGCCGCTCCCAACCACCGCAGCCTTGACCTGCTGGGCTCTGGTGATCCTTCCGCCTCAGCCTTCCAAGTAGCTGGAACTACAGGCGTGCGCTACCACACCCGGCTGATTTTTTGATTTGTTGTAGAGATGAGGTCTCACCAAGTTGCCCAGGCAGGTCTTGAACCCATGGGCTCAGGCAATCCACTCACCTCAGCCTCCCAAAGCGTGGGATTACAGGCTGAGCCACTGCGCCCGGCTTTCATTTTCTTTACATTATAACTATATAAACTAGATTTTAAAATCTCAAAGGATACATTCCCTTGTTTTACATTTAAAAATTAGACTCCCAAAATTATGTAGATCTGTGCATTTCGAGGGAAAGGAGACTTAGGCCTCCACATGGTCTTCCTACTCCAAACATCAGAACACTTAAGTAAGATTAAAAGACACTCAATTAGCATTAGCCTTATGAAGTAACACTCACAGGTATGTTCATGCTCCCTGGTTTTGATTATCTAGCTGAACTAAATATTTAAGAGGGAAGGGAAAATTGGAACAGGAAGAAGCTTAGTATTATATATTTCTGAGTGCTTAATCAGAATTAAGGCCAATAATTTATGGGAGATGAAAAACTAGAAGACATAATCTCAGCCCCTGGCCCTTTAGACATTTGCAGTCTTGAGTGGTTTTGTTAGTAATTAATTAGGTGACAAAACATTTAGGTTTGTCTGCTAGAGGATTTGGGTATCAAATTATGGTAAAAGTTTTAAGTTCTTAGTCAATAGGAGTTAAAATAAAAGTTAAATGATGGTGGTATCAACTACAAGTTGTAGAATAACTTTCCAATAACTTCTTTGGTGTGGTATCACTTTATATTTTATCTTATAGGAATGTTACTCATTGAAGAAAAGTTGTCCTGTAATAATGGGCATCTATTTAAACCTGTGATCATTGGTTCATTTTTTAAAGCTGTAAAATTGTAAAGTTGGAACAGACCTTACAGAATTTATAGTCCCATTCTTTCTTTTCTCTGATGAGAAAAAGGACCTCAGGGTATTTGGTTAATTGAGTTTTGTCTAAATTGGCCCTTTAATTTAGAGACAAAACAGGAACTAGAACATTATTATTTAGACTTTATGGTTTCCTCTTATATAACTTATTTTTTCTCAGTATACATTAAATGGAAGCATATATGTTATCTTATATTTTCAGTTATTTCCTCATCTGTTTTTTATATTATTCCTGTAAAATAGTCAAGAAAATCTATCTCTGATTACAGAGGGAAAAAAAATCTAAGTGATCTGCCTAATGTCACATAACTAACAAATTAGCAAAACTGGAGCTAGAACCCAGACCTTCTGTTTTCTAGTACATTGATTTTTTAATGACACCATACTATGTTTCCATATTGTTCCCATTAGTATTATTTCGAAATTATTCACACAAGTTTAGTCAAACTAAGAACATTTTTAAGAAAGAATGATGGACTCTTGTAGGGGGAAATTATCCAGTCTTTCCTTATTGCAAAATTTTATTTGGATAGTTATAGTTTTCATCAACTTGGCTCTGTTCTGTTTGAAATTTGAATTTATCACTCACTGGAGTCTGAGACTAGACAGCAGTTCCAACATAGAAATATAGATTTGAATTGGTTTGTAGTAATAACTGCTTTTCATTCATAATAGGATAATCTTTTCATTAAAAAAACGTTTTATTGAAGTTTACTGTGCATATGAAAACATGCACAAAATCATTTTCACAACTGTATACACCTATGTAACCAGCACCCAATTCAAGATTATAACATGACCTTGGCTGGGCACAGTGGCTCACATATGTATTCCCAACACTTTGGGAGCCTGAGACAGGATTGCTTGAGCACAAGAGTTTACCTGGGCAACAGAGCAAGACTGTGTCTCTACAAAAAAATCAAAAGATTAGCCAGATGTGATAGTATATGCCTGTAGTCCCTGCTACTTGGAAGACTGAGGAGGAAGGATTGCCCTGAGCCCGGGAGGTTGAAGCTGCAGTGAGCTGTGATTGTGTCACTGCACTCCAACCCGGGTGACAGAGTAAGATCCCGCCTCAAAAAAAAATGTTTTTTTAATCTTAGCATTTACCACCCTTTCAGAAACTCTCCTAACACTCTGTTCTTGTTACTACCCCAGTTCTGCTGCTCCTCAAGGATAGCCACCATACCAGGATTGTCTTTTAAAAGATGAGGTCAGATACTCCATTAGTCAATTTTGTTCTGTTTTTTGTCTTTGCTGCAAATATAGAGAGGATGAAACAGAACAAGGTCTCTTCCTTATCGATATAAAAATAATTGCTAATAGGCAAAAAAGCAAACATTAAAATTTCTTCATTATCAAGGTGTACTTACCAGTTTATTATTCAACTAGAGTTACACGGGGAGATTTAAATCTTTCATGCAGCTTTAGAAATATCCAGGCGTTTCTGTAAATGACTTTTGTCTTCTGGAACAAAATGCACAGTGTACAGGAAATAGGAAAATGGATGTAGAGCAGTGTGCTACCCCCACACGACTATTTCCCACCATGGAGGAGGCTCCAGGGAATGGCCGAAATTCAGAGCTATGTTGAGGAGTCACTAAAATGATCCTCTTTCTTTTCACATATCCTCTGAATATTGACATTAGGTTTCTTCTATAATTAGAATTCTGTGGGAGATTTTTAAATCTGCTGTTTATGGGTTAAATGCTGTGTTTCCTGTGACTTTTTTTTAAAAGCAACTTGGTTAAAATTCTTCCACCTTGATTTAAAATGTTACTTTTAACACTGCCTTCATTTTCTGTTTCTTATCAGGACTCCTGAACAGTGCCCAAGTGTTGTTTCTTTGTTGTCAGAGAGTTACAACCCTCATGTGCGCTATGGAGCTGCAATGGCCCTGGGAATCTGCTGTGCTGGTACAGGAAACAAGGTAAAGCCCAGAACCAATGGGGTCGGTTCTTCCCTGGCGCCAGACTGTTTTCCCTCTCAGAAAAGTTTATGTAACAGCTGTAAAAATACAAGTGTAGTATGAGCTGTAAGACTGAACTTGCCTCACAAAGCTTCCCAGTACTCCCTCACTTGACTATGCTGGATTACCAAAGCTGCTTAATAATAAATCTTCACATTACATGAATAGCAGAAACTGAAACAAAGCACTTTAATTTCTTTTTGAAATTATTGATTTCTTTTTAAAAATAAAAATAAAACAAGAAGAAAATCAAAGATTTTTTTAAAAATATAAAACTACTCTGGTCATTTTACATGGTTATTTTACATGTTTAATTTGTGTAATTAGTATTATGAAAATCGAGGCATTCATCTGAAGCCACCAAAATCATCTCATTTGATGCATTTTTGTTTTAAGCACATCACTTAACGTGCTATTCTCATCTCTAACCTTAATAAGTAACCCGGTATTTGTTAAGCCCTCAAAAGTAGCAAAGTAAAAAATTGAGTTAAGTAGAATGATGATTTGAAAACATAATTCATCATGAGATTCATAAAGAAATGCACTATTGCTTAAATAACAAGTATTCTTGTTTGACAGCAGTGATGTAATTTTTATACTTTGCCTCTCATAACACATGTGCACAAATCTTGGCCACCTCCCAGAGGGAGGTGAACCTTTCTTTTTAAAAAGTGTATGCATAAGAGAGAAAATGTGGTTATACTTCTAGTGCCTTTATATCAGAGAGAAAGGAGTCACTGTTTTACCTGTTGTCCAGACTCAAAACATAGGTGTGAGTTCATGAATTTATTCCAGAAATCTAAATTTTAATTTGCTTGATTTGTTCTCTAATAAAGGGTATTGGTATTGGATCCATATAACTGTTTCTAATCATGTAAAACCTTATTAAGGCTGAGGAGAAAAATAGGTATTTTCACTATGCATGGCAAGAATTGTATAAAAATATATGGAGATATCTCTTTCCAGTGTTTCATCCCATTCTGTCTCCTTACCCTGCCTTAATTTTTCATAGCACTTATCACCACCTGACATGTTACACTTCTTTAGTCTCTCTCTCTCCCCACTGCTGAAATATAAGGTCCCTAAGAACAAGATATTCACTACTAGAACCTAAAGTAAAACATGGCTAATAATAGGTTCTCAGTAAATACTTATTGAATGAATGATAGATGGCAAGATCATTTAAGAATACGATGGTGGCCAGGCTCGATGGCTCAGCCTGTAATCCCACGGCTTGGGAGGCTGAGGCGAGTGAACTGCCTGAGCCCGTGGGTTCAAGACCCGCCTGGGCAACTTGGTGAGACCTCATCTCTACAATAAATCAAAAAATGAGCCGGGCGTGGTAGCGCGCTCCTGTAGTTCCAGCTACTTGGAAGGCTGAGGTGGAAGGATTCCCGGAGCCCCGCAGGTCGAGGCTGCGGGGGCCGGGAGCGGCTACTGCACTCTAGTCTGGGCGGCAGAGTGACACTCCAACTCAAAAAAAAGAGAATACGATGGTGAGCAAATTTGACATGGTCTTTGTCCTCACAGAGTTTGTTTTTTTAAATGTCTTGATTTCTTTTGGCAGAGAATTTCTTACATGAGAATGTATCTTCAATTTTACTAAAGATGTCACTGGGTATTTAAGATGCAATTTATAGAAATCGGCCTTTATTTTTTTTCCAGACCATACCTGTAAATAAAGGAAGAATATAGTTGGATAGTTGGATGTTTTTACTATTTTCTCCTTCAAGTCTTGTTGACATTTATGTCAGATCTCATAAGTTAAATGTAAATTCGATTTTTTTCTTTTCAGATCATTCTAAACTTAACATGATATCTAGGAGCAAATGTCTCTTGAAACACAGCTTCTGACAAGTTAATTCAATGAAAAAATTTTATTACTCATATTAAACAAGTCTGCTTTATCTCTAGATAATTTATGTGATCTAGGTAGCAGTCACTGTCTTACTGAGGTTTGCTGCTTTGGTTTTGTTTTTTTTCTTGAAAACCCAAAATACCTGTCTTATAAATACTTTCAAGGTTGTATTACATACCTCAAAAGCCAGGTTATTGTCTTTTAACTTTTAAGTTCAAAATTTGGTTGTATTTTTATAATGAATAGTTCATAAAGAATTTTGACAATATATGTTTGAAAAACATACTTCTCTGTACAATGTCATTACATTTTTCAGTAAAGTAGGAGGAAAGGATACACATATCTGGTATGTGTATTATTTGTTAACAACTCTAATTTTTAAAAATGTTTAAGTAGGTTCACATGTGGAGGAATCTAAATTGTTTTCCCAAAAAATGATTCATTTTATTCTTCTTTTCCTTGGTCTTGGAATGAAGAATACTTGAGAAATGACATGCTGAATTAAGAAATGTTTGATAATCTTATAAACCCATTGCTCTTTTTCTCCCAGATTTATACCTACCTAAGGACCTTGGCAAGGGATGGTATATTGTCAAGTGGCACTTCCCAAAGATCCTACAGAGAGTGAATATAGAAGTTATAAGGGGCAAAAGAGTTTTTAGTCAAAAAACAGTGGACAGATGCTGGTATAAGCAAAATTTGAGTGGTTTCTTTATTATAAGGCATCCTAGAGCCTTTACTATGGTATGTACATTCCCAGAGCCTTTGATACAATATATACATTTTGAATCTGCAAGAGGAGGTGATATGTAGTATGCAGAAACTCCCAAACTTATTTAACAAAGGACTTCTTTTTTCATAGAACTGATACTTTGAAGACTATGATATTGGGGAAATATTGATAAACATCTTGGAAAATCCTATCACTTGTGGTCTTGGAAAGTATAGCTGGGAATTCAGTTCTGGTCTATTTGCTTTGTTTTGGCATTCTCCTAGCAAGTAAAATCTTTTTGGAAAGTTTTGTTTTTTTTTGGTTTTTGTTTTGATTAGATATTTTAATTGAGTGATATAAAATCATCTAAGATATTATGATATTACCTTACCCTAATATATGAAGGAGATTAAATACTTAATACATATGTTAGTGTCAGACTGACCTGAGCTTGATACTTTCTTGACTTTAGGCAAGTTATGTAGCCTTTCTAACTTATTTTCTTCATTTGTAAAGGTTATTTTGTGTTGGATTTGTTTGTTTTTGGATTAAAAGGATTGTATGGAATAATATATAACTACCTATGCTGTATCTGAAAATTAATAGGTGCTTATCAAATGTTAATCCCATTTTTCTCTTAATTTCTTTATGACCTCTTACATCAAGACAGGAGTACTCAGGTTCTAAAGCTTCCTTTTCATTTGCCTTCAGTTATATTGAAATTTAAGTAAAGCATACTCAGTTCTAAACTGTTATGCTCACATAGTGGTAAACTAACTTGTTACAATGCTGTTGAATGAAAATATTGACTTAGAATGACAGTAACTACAGTCATACATCACCTAACTATAGGATTATAGTCTAAGAAATGCCTTATTAGGCAATGTCATGGTTGTGTGAACATCATAGAATATACTTACACAAGCCTAGATGATATAGCCTACTACACACCTAGGCTATATGATACAACATATTGCTTCTAGGCTACACACCTGTGCAGCATGTTACATATACTGATCACTATAGGTAGTTATAACATAGTGGTAAGTATGAGTATCTAAACATAGAAGAGGTACAGTAAAAATACAATATAAAAGATTGAAAATGGTATACCTGTATAGAATACTTACCATGAATAGAGCTCACAGGACTGGAAGTTGCTCTGGGTGAGTCAGTGACAGAGTGGTGGTTGAATGTGAAGGCCTAGGACATTACTGTCCCCTACTATTACTTAATAAACACTGTACCTTAGGCTACAGTGAATTTATTTTTAAATTTTTTCTTCAGTAATAAATTAACCTTCAATTACTATAACTTTTAAACTTTATAAACTTAATTTTTTAAAACTTTTTGATGCTTTTGTTATAACACTCAGTTTAATATTTTTTCCTTATATCCTTACTCTATAAGCTTTTTCTATTTTTAAAATTATTATTTTACTTCTTAAAATTTTTTTGTTAAAAATGGAGAAGACATAAGCACACATATTAGCCTAGATCGACACAGAGTCAGGATCATCAAGACATTACTGAGTGATAGGAATTTTTCAGCTCCATTATAATCTTATGGGACCACCATCTTATATGTGGTCTGTCACTAACCAAAACATTGTTATGCAGTGTGGGACTGTAATTTGAAAATCCAGTCCTATCAACTTCATTTAACGTTACTCTTTTTATATTTCTTTCAGGAAGCCATTAATTTGCTAGAACCAATGACAAATGACCCTGTGAACTATGTGAGGCAAGGGGCACTCATAGCTTCAGCTCTCATCATGATCCAGCAGACTGAAATCACTTGTCCAAAGGTGAGCAAGCAAATTATCTGAAAGGGAACTAATTTGGGCTTTTCTTTGGTAACTGAGAACATTTTTACTTCATGTATGGTGAACACTAAAGCCACAGGAAGTGGAGTATTTTGGGGTGTAAGAGAATTGGGGAAACTCAATATAATGCTCTTTAAATGTATTTTTTTACAGACTTAATGGCTACTTTGTTAATTTAAGTATATAGGATCTGGCGATCCTTCTGCCTCAACCTTCCAAGTAGCTGGAACTACAGGAGCATTCTACCACGCCCAGCAAATTT